AAAAAAAAAAAGGAAAAGAAAGACTTGAATCCATGTAATTAGGAATGAAAAGGGTGAAATCATAACAGATCCTACAGAAATCCAGAATATCATCAATACCTACTTCAAGAACTTGTATTCTAATAAGATGGAAAACAGAAGTGGACAAATTCCTAGAAACATATGAATTACCAAAGTTGAATCAAGAAGATATAAAAACTCTAAATAAACCAGTATCAGTGAATGAAATTGAAGATGTAATTAAAAATCTACCAACAAAGAAAAGCCCTGACAGACTCATTGCTGAATTCTACAAGAAATCTAGAGAAGACCTAATGTTGTTACTTCTCAAACTCTTTAATGAAATTGAAAGGGAATCAATACTCGTAAGATCATTCCTGGAAGCAAGCATTACCCTGATCCTAGGGATGCAGGAATGGCTCAACATATGCAAATCAATAAATGTAATATACCATATTAACAGAGCCAAGGACAAAAACCACATGATCATCTCAATAGATGCAGAAAAAGCATTTGACAAAGTCCAACATCCATTCATGATAAAAACCTTAAAGAAAATTGGAATAGATGGTCTTTGTCTCAATCTGATAAAGGCCATCTATGACAAACCAACAGCCAACGTCATACTAAATGAACAAAAACTAAAAGCTTTCACTCTAAAATCAGGAACAAAACAAAGATGTACACTATCACCACTCCTATTCAATACAGTTCTGGAAACATTAGCCAGAGCAATTAGACAAGAGAAAAAAATAAAAGGAATAAGGATAGGAAAGAAAAAGAAGAAGTTAAATTATCACTATTTGCGGATGACATGCTACTCTACAAAGAAGACCCGAAAACCTCCACCAAAAGATTTCTAGATTTAATAATCAATTTCAGTAGCATAGCTGGATACAAAGTCAATACCCAAAAGTTAATAGCATTCCTGTACACAAAATGAATCAGGTCTAGCTATGAAGTTCAGGCTAGCCTTGAATTCAATATGTAGCCTAGGCCAGGCTCAAACTCGAGTGATTCTCCTGCCTCAGCCTCCTGAGTGCTGGGGTTACAGGCATGTGCCACCATACCGAGCAATGATTTTCTCACTTTTGAAGAGTAACAGGCTAATTAGTTTCTGGAGTGCCCCTGAGCCTAGCTTTGTCTGATTATCAGATTAGGCATCTCTGCAAGAACATCACAGAAAGGACTGCACCCTATCAGGCATCAGGATCTCAGTTTGTTTCACTCAGGTGATGTTCACTTTGATCACTGGATTAAGGACAGCCTTCTCTTTAAGAAGTTACTTTAAAAAAAAAAAAAAAAGAAGTTACTTTTCCTCTTTGTAATTAATAAGTATTTTGTGGGGAGCTATTCTGAAACACTTTTTTTATGTTAGTAAGAACCCATGGTTTCCTAATTCATTCATTCAGCTATACTACAAATTATATTTATTTTGTTCCTTAAATCATACTTGGTTTGGCCACAGAAAGCCCATCAGGCTGGTTCCATGTCCCTCTAACAGATTTTAGTCATCCTTTGAGCATTTTCTTATTTTGTGCTTTCTGCCTCAGCTCTGGAATCAGCCATTTTCCCCTAAGAGAGTGGTTCCCTTTGGTGGGAAATGGCATTAGGAAACCAAGATCCAAGTGGGGATGGTGGCATGCCTGTAATCCCACCACTCCAGGAGGCTGGGGTAGGAGGATCATAACTTTGAGCCCAGCCTGGGCAACTTAGTGAGACCCTGTCTCAAAATAAAAAATAAAAGGACTGGGGATGTAGCTCAGTGTGAAGGCCCTGGGTTCAAACCCCAGTACTGAAAAGAAAAAAAAAAGCAGCATCCGTGGCAGCAGTGAAGATCTAGATGCTAGGTATGTTCACAGCTCAGAAATGTATGAGTACGGGTATATTTGTGTGCGTACATAAATAAATGATGTATCTATGTGTATATGCATATATATCAAAATTTATTCCCGTATTTATCTACACATTAAAAACTAATCATCTAATCCACACCTCCAATTTCAGGTTCATTCTAACTTTCTTCCCATATTTGTAACTCGGGTCTCCAATGGCAAGGAATTTAGCTACTACCTTTTTTGTGTGCGCGCGTGGGGGGGGGGTATGGGGGGCCTTTGCACTGAGCCACATCCCTAGCCCTGTTTAAACTTTATTTAGAGGCAGGGTCTCACTAAGCCATTAAGTTGCCCACGCTGGGTTAGAACTTTTGGTTGTTTTTTTTTTCGGGGTGTTTAAGACCAAGTTAAAGTGAGACCTGTGTCAATCAATATGAACCTCTTGCTATCTATCAAGGTCAGTTAAGTCTCCCCAGGCCATTGTTTGGAACCATGTATAGAGCCTCTCTGCTCCTCCATCAGTGTCAGCCATCAGGATGGGTCATGGCCTTGCTTGACCAAGTTGTTTTCAATGAAAGTGTGGGAGATTTTTTGTGGTGACCCTCCTTTGGCACACAGTACATTGTCCTCTGGTGGGCTAGAACTTTTGATCCACCTGCCTCAATCTCCCAGAGTACTGGGATTACAGGCTTGTGCCATCCTGCTCACTTGTCATTTGTTATCCTTAATATACTTACCCGGTTGATCTCCCTATGAGTAACCAACCTCCTATCCCTGCTGCCACACCCCTTTTACTTAGGGAGGCTCTGACCCCCTGCAAGGGGACACCCAGAGAATTTTGCTATTCAATGACAAAGGAGTTACCAAAAAAAGTATGATTTTTTTTCCCCAGTACTGGGATTGATCCCAGGGCCTCTGCACTGAGCTATATTTCCAGTCCCTTTAAAATTTTTTAAATTTCAAGATAGGGTCTTGCTAAGTTCCTGAGTTGTCCAGGCTGGCTTGAACTTGTGATCCTCCTGCCTCAGCCTCCCAGATTGCTGGGATTGCAGGTGGTATGCCACCTTGTATGGCTTGATTCTTAGAATTTTGTACAACTCACAGCAAAGTCTTATTTTATTCCTATTCCTAATTTACATACAGATCCTTTGCTTCTATATATAGGATAAAATGAGTCATTAATGATGGCTGAATACTTATTTTACACTCATAACCATGACTAATGTGCACTGTCATAATTAATGAATGAGGACCCCCTGCAGCTGGCACTGTAACCCTCCCCATTGTCTTTTTTTTTTTTTTTTTGGTACCGGGGATTGAACTCGGGATCTTGTGCTTGCTAGGCAGGCGGCGGAACCACTGAGCTAAATCCCCAGCCCAACCCTCCCCATTGTATAGGTGAAAAAGGTGAGGACAGATAGGTAGAGTAGTAATTTACAGTGGGATTTGAATCCAAGCATTCTGAGCCTAGAGTTTCTTTTCATCATTTGCCTTCTAATTGAATTCTTTAGGTGAGAGGAGCAAATAATAACTGTTGGCAGGTGAGTAAAGGACAGCGATCATTCATTCTGTTTGTTATGATGCTGTTCAGATTTATGGAAATCTGAAAAAAGGCTGGGGTGTAGCTCAGTGGTAGAGCACTTCCCCAGCATACTCAAATCTCTGGGTTCAATCCCCAGCACCATAAAAAAGGGGAGGGGGACATTATTTACTAACATTTTTGAATTAAAAATTATTAAATTATTAAAACTGATGAATTTTTATTAACATGAGAAAAACAGCAACATTCAGAAACCTAGGTATCTTAGAATATCCTCTTAAATCACCCTGAAATATCCTTTGTTACTACACCTAGCTTGTTCTGTCTTGTACAAGCAAGAAATGTGTATTCTTTAGTTCTAGATATAAAAACATTAAAAGCAAAGTAACCTTACCAAAATCTCTTTTATTGCAATTCTCATCACTTTTTCAATCTCATTTATTTCCAAAGGTCTGGCAATGGCTTCTGTTCTCAGTTCCTAAGAGAAACAATAAAACTATTACGTATTTTCCGAAATGGAGTTTTCACACTACTTACTGTAGTCCTCAGGTAAGAGAACATGGTAGCATCAATTGTCACACATTAAAAAGAAAAAAAAAAGAAATGGAGTTTCCAAAACGAATGTTCCTAGATCCAGATACAGATTATGGACTAATTCTCCAAAATTTCATTACAGGTGCTGGGGATGTGGTTCAGTGGTAGAACACATGCTTACCATGTACAAGGTCCTGGTTTCAATCCTAGGTACCAAAGGAATAAAATAGTTTCATTATAACATGGATCTCTGATGCAAAGCCATCTCTGCCATCACCTCCTACAAACATCCTCCAATGTCCACCTAACCCCTTCTCAGAGCCCAGGTCCTCCTTTCAGCTTAAGGCCTCATGTGCCACTCCCTCCATGGGCAAACCTGATCTTAGCATCCCACATTTGCTTCCTGACCTGCCTTCTGGTCAGGGGACCTCAAAACCTAATACAGCACAATTTGCTATCTAAATCCCCACTGGCCTCTGCATCTCTTTTTACAATTAACTCTCTAAGTTGCCTATCATTTGACAAAATATCCATGAAAATAGTCACCTTGGCCCTGCCTCTAGCATTAATAAACCTATCAAGGAGAAATTTGTGACTACCCTATCAGCAATGGAAATTTCTGAGACATGAGATTTTAACGTAGATGCAGTTATGAGGTTGCTTACAGACTGAATGTATCACTCCCAAAATCATATGCTGGAATCTTAACCTGCAATGCAATGATATTAAGAGTGAGTGGGGTTTTTAGCAAGTAATTAGATCATGAGGGTGGCATCCTCATGAATGGGATTAATGATTTTATAGACAAAACCCTGGAAAGCTCCCTCACCCTTCTGCCATATGAGGACACAGTAAAAGAAAAGAAAAAAAAATATCACTGCTAGGCATGGTGGTGGACATCTGTATTCTTAGCTATTTGGGAAGCTGAGGCTGGAGGATTGCAAGTTTAAGGCCAGCCTGAGCAACTTAGCAAGACCCTGTCTCAAAGTAAAAATTTAAAGCAGGGCCTTTACAAGGCCCTGGATTCAATTCCCAATACCACAGAGGTGAGGGAGCACTGTCTATGAGGAATAGGCCCTCACCAGACACTGAATTTGCCAGTTCACTGATCTAGGACTTCTGTCTCCAGAACTGTGAGAAATAAATTTCCATAATTTTCAAACCATCTAGTTTATCACAGTTTGTTGTAGTAGCCCAAACAAAGTAAGACATGGCTCCTGGAGCACTGTGCGTGTGTGTGTGTGTGTGTGTGTGTGTGTGTGTTACAGGGGACTGAATCCAGGGGTTTAACACCGAGCTACATCCTCAGTCCTTTTTTATTTTGAGACATGGTCTTGCTAATTCACTAAGTTGCCCTTGCTAATTCACTAAGTTGCCCAGGCTGGCCTCAAACTTGAGATGCTCCTGCTTCAGCCTCTCAGACTGCTGGGATTACAAGTGTGCACCACCATACCTAGCTCCTAGATCACTTACCAAATGCCACCTGTGCTTCCCTTATTCTATGGCATGTCTTATCTCCTCCATTGGTTGAAAATTAAATTATGAAGGGATTATGACTTACTCAGGAGGAAGAGCTCTATGCCTTGCCTTTGGTTAGCACTGATCCTCAAAATTTACTGAGTGCTTGAAAAACAAATATGGGATGGGGCTCTTCCCCAGATCAGGACTGCATACAACATTTGAGAGGAATCATATTCAGAAGCCATGTTTTCCTTGGGAACAGGTGATAGACTACTTGACTACTTATCATTCACTCCAGGACACTGGGGAAGTCTCAAATGAACCCAGAGCTCCACTGGCACTTAGCTAGTGACCAGCTTCTGTCTCCAAGTCTCTCACAAATATGTGCAGTACTTCATTGTAAGTAGGAAACATGGAAAGCCTGAAGTTGCTTCATGAGTCACCTGCACTGGTTGGCAGAACTTAGTGGCAGTTTTGTTTTGCTACCCACCCTTCACCAGGTGGCAACCACTAGGTCAGTATATGAAGAGCAGAGACAGTGACCTGGCACCTGAGAGTCCCACTTCCACTTTGCTTCTAGAGTAGATATGAAAAGCAGAAGGAAAAATACCATTACACTACAGCAAGCAGAACACAGGCAAGGCAGTGACAGACTGGTCAAAGCTGACCTACCCTGCAGAAAGTGAGAGAACAAAATTCATTTAGTGTAAAAACACTAGATTGAACACAAGCTTTAAATGTCATCAATCCTTATAGGTAAGGATTCAACAATACTCCATCTCTTTTTAAATCAGTAGTTCCCTGGCCGGGCATGGTGGTGCACTACTATAATCCTAGCACTCGGGAGGCTGAGGCAGGAGGCTTGCCATGAGTTCGAGGCCACCCTGGGTTACACAGTGAGTTCAAGAACAGCCAGAACTACATAGTTCTACCCTGTCTCAAAAAACCAAAAAAAATCAGTAGGGCCGGGGACTTAGCTCAGTGGTTCTGCTGCCTGCCTCGCAAGTGCAAGGACCCAAGTTCGATCCCCAGTACCACCTCCCCCCCCCAAAATCAGTAGTTCCCAAATTCTGCTTCTCGTTGGAATCACCTGGTGATCTTTAAACCGTGATGCCTGTTCTCAGGCCCAGGCACACTAACTCATTGGTATGAGGACAATCTAGACGTTGGGTGAGTCTGTTTAGTAAAGGTTAGGAAACAAACTCTCAAACAGTTGCTTAAGTGGAGTGGAGAAAGAGTGCATACTCCTTGACTGGGTCTGGCTGGAATAAAGATTGCAAAGAAGTTTCACACTAACACAAACTCCAACTGCTTCTGAGTGACTGCCTAGCTTGTTGATCCCAAACTTTGCTGTATGTTAGCATCACCTGTGAGACTTCTGAAACACCCAGTGGCAGATCTCATTGAATAATGGTAACATCAGAATGAAAGCCAGGCTTTTTAAAGCCTTTTAAAGATCCTCATCTCAGCTGAATATATTGGCATGTGCCATCCCAGCACTCTGGAAGGCTGATTCAGGAGGATCATAAGTTCAAGCCCACCCTGGGCAACTTAGCAACTTATTGAGATGCCCATTTCAAAACAAAAAGGACTGAAGATACAGCTCAATGTGAAGGCTCTGGGTTCAAACCCCAGTACTGCACGCGCGCACACACACACACACACACACACACACACACAGACGCACACACGCACAATAAAAAGATCCTGAAGAAGATCATGGGGAACATGGAAAAAGCATCATGATTAATAATGTCTGCCACAGGCACAAGAAGGGTAGTCTCAGTAACACGCCACCTATTTGCCATTCCTAAAGTGGAAGCTAAAGGTATTAAAACCTGTGCCCATTAAAAGCAGTCTTGACATTCAACTTTCTGCATTACTTTAAACTGCAAACATTATCTCTTTCAATCAGGTATAGCTTAAGAAAATGAGAACTAAAGAGCAAGAAATAGAATTTAAAAAGAAAACCTGGAAGAAAAAATTTGCATTCTTCATCTGCTTACCCTTAACTCGACCTCCTTTCCCAGCAAGTCATACAGAAATGCTCCTTTGGCAGTGATTTCAGAAGCAAGCTGCCTGGCTGCCTTCAAATCTGCAATCTAGAAGGAAAAGGTACAGGTACATATTCAGTAGCTGGTCTGTTAGTACCAACTGCTACCTTGAGATGGGATACATGACTACAGAGCACGTGTTTCTCCAGCCCCACACTTACATGCTGCAAGACAGCTCTCAGGACACCTGCTTAGGAAATACTGATCTAAGTACAAATGGAACCAATTCCAGGACACCCAGTCTCTCAGAAAATAAAATGTCAAGTTAATCTAAATCCATAATGAGGAGGTACAGGCAGGAGAAAGCTGACACATTTCCTATTTGAAATAGGTTACAATGATTCCGACAGTAGCTGTGTGACTAAATGAAGGGGTACTCTGAGGGACACGTATTTTTAATGGTTAGGATCCAAAATGTCCCCCAAAAGGCTCACGTTGAAGGCCTGGTTGCCAACTGATGGCTTCTGGATGCCATCAGTTCATGAAGGCTCTAACTTCATCAAGTGGATTAATGCACTGATGAGTTCATTAGCGGAATGTGCTCATTAGGATGTGGGGCCTGTCTCTATCTAAATGGAGCAGGTCACTTGGGGGAGACGCTTTGAAGGATATATTGTATCTTGTCCCTTGCCTCCTCTTCTTTGGCTTTCTTTCTCTGCTTTCAGGCTATTTATGAGGTGAGCAGCTTTGCTCCACCACAACCTTCTGCCATGATGTTCCTGTCTCACCACAGGCCTAGAAATAATGGACTTAAACTTCTGAAAACAAAATAAATAGTTAAGTCAAAATAAATATTTCTTCCTTTTAGTTGATTTTCTCAGGTATTTTGTCATAGTGACAGAAAGCTAACACTATATTCTACTGCAGCATCCTGAAGGCTCATGTTTCTTTTTTTTCCTTTTTAAAAATTAATTTTAGGGCTGGGGATTTAGCTCAGTGGTTTCGCTGCCTGCTGCGCAAGTGCAAGGACCTGAGTTCGATCCCCAGTACCCCCCCAAAATAAAATAAAATAAATTTTATTGGTACATTTTAGGTATCCAATATAATGACATTCATCATTGGAAATTTGCACCTTTACGTAATCTCTCTTGGTTCTTACTTTTCCCCCTTCCCTTCCCCTCCCCTCCCTTCAACCCCTCCACCCCTCCCTATTTACAAAGACTTTGTTTCCTTTCTTTCATTTTCTCATATTAATTCCATTCCCTTCTTTCCTTTCCTCTACCCCTCCTACCTCCCCTTCCCCTTTGCCCCTTTTCTTCCTATTTCACATTACCTATTATACCTTTTAGTCCTTATTTACA